AGTGTCTGTGCCAAATGCAGGGTTGGGATGCATAATCTAAGGAGGAATATAAGCATCTAAATCAGTTTTAAATCCCAGTCCACCCCCTCCCTTTCTTCCACTAGATTCTTCTGGTGTCCAAATTCAGGAGGTGCCTCCAGACACAGATGTGGTGCTCACTGGGTACCCTTGAGTCAGAGGCTTGTGCAGGTTCAGATTTGCCATTTCTGGCCACCAGCAGTCTGTTGCAATCCGGAATGGAAAAGCATAAATGCTTAAAATTTAGGTTTTAAATTCTCTCTTTAATGCTCTGAAAAGGCCTCATACCTTTAGCCATTATTGGTAGTATAAAACTTGATGGTATAAGTGGTTCACCTAGAAGTGGGAGTTTAGAAGTCTCCACAAGCAGAAGACCTTTGAACTTGCAGAATGTGTGTCCTGAAAAACGTGTGCACTGTTGCCAGAAGACCCTGAGTCCTCAGGGAATTACCCCACGGATCCCCCAGCCCTCGTTGGAGAGCCCAGGCTCCCTGTACGATGACTCCAGGCCGCTGGGTTTTCTGCTTGCAGATGTGGCCCAAGTGATTGCTGTGTGCTGAGGATTGTTTTTATTAGTCATGTAAACGCAAGAACTCTTCAGCTACAGTGTATCACCAGTGCTCACCAAGATTTTCATGAACATGCAAAAAATTGTAAACAGGCTTCAAAGTAGAGCTACTTCTGAATAGCAAAACCGTTGTTTGCAACCCTTTTTTTTTTCACCAGAATAGCTTCACTTTGGATGCTGGACCCAGCATCAAGGCAGCATAAACCTACTACCCTTTTCTGTCTTCATCCCTCCTGCAAAGTGTTGGTGCAGCAAAGAGGTGGCTGGGATATGGAGAGGAAATTGCAGTTTCTCACCCCTGGGAACTGATGCAGAGAGGTCACACGTCCCCAACAGTTCTGGGAAGTCGTGTCGGCTGCAGACATGAATGCATCACTTTGCAAGCAGCATAGTTAACAACATATAGTAGGAAAAATATTTTAAAAGCTCCACTTAACAAAACTAAAATTATTATTGGTAGTATATTTATTTTTTCTTCAGTACTCAAAGCAGTTTATTCATTTTGCTTCTGGTAAAAGTGTTCTTTTCACTTGCCTTGGTTGTTTGCAATGATAAAGTATCATATGACAAATACGATGATAATTCACTGATAATTCAAGGCTACACGGAAAAAAAACAGAGTGAAGTATCTTTATTTTGAGGGTGACAGCTTGTTCAGTGTCATTTGATAACAATCTTGGTGCCTGTTATCGTTCAATGAAAAGTTCATGCATATTGCAAAAATAGAACATGCACAAAAGTGCACAAAAGTTGTGCCTCTGACAGTGAGAGCGTGCATCTTACTTTAGACCTTTACCAAAGGCTTCTCATCTCAGCGCAAGCCTGAGTGAGTTGTTTGGGGTGATAAATGCTCGGGGAGTTTGTGGTGAGGCTCCTTGCTTTCTCAAGTATTTCTGGCAGCAGGAACCGCTTTGCATTGACCTTATTGACACCCATCTGTTGACCACGATGACCTCGTCTGTTCATAAGGACAAACGGGCTCATGAGACCTCCTGTAACTGTGCTGTGCTCTGTATTTTAAGCTATGTGCTTGCTTTCTTCCCCAGAGCAGAGGTGGAGAGCAGAAACTATCGCTGGACGGCCTCGATGAAAGGAATCCACTTGGACCAGAGGGATGAAGACTGGGAGCTCAAGAAAGAAGAGCTTGAGAGAAACTTGCTGTGTGCCCAGGAGAGCTATACACCCTGTGCTCAAAAGAAACATAGGAAAAAGAGAGGGAAGCAGTAGCTGGGTGCCTGGTGCCACTGAGAACTTGCAATGTGGATTAAAGACACAGGCAAAGCCAGGAAGCCACTGCAGGGTGAAATAGGGATGCAAGAAGGCAGATGGCCACAAGAAGATGCCTTTACAGCCTACTGCATATACTGTCATTCATAGAGAGTAGGTAAAAGTGCTGCACTCCATCTATATGTCTCTATCTCACATATAAGAAAGCTGCAGATAATATTTAAATATACTAATATTCGGACCCACTGAACATAGTATAAATATATAAGTCTACAGAAATTGCAGCAGATTCTCTGAATGCATGAGAGGGAAACGTTTTTAGTTTCTGTTGGTCAGGAAGTTGCTGGGACTGTGGTTCTGCTGACTGGTGATCTCCATGTCTTTGTGTGTTTGCTTCAGGACCTGAGTGAAGAAGCAGGGCTCAACGGGGCCTCATAGTGCTGAATGGTGCCTCTCCCTTTTGTGTGTGTGGGCATCTAGTTCCCTCTTCTGGTTTGAAGGGAGACTGACTTTGATCCTTTACTGGATACATCTGTCTAACAGCCTGTGATTTTTGGTCCAGAGAAAAGGGAGAATATGCTTCCCTGCTACTGCTTTCAGACCTCTGTGACTGCTGAGATAGAGCACTGCCTTGTTTTTGGTAATGTCCCTCACCTTTTTATGCCTGTGTTCATAGGAATGCTGTGAACAAGACCTGAGCTATCTTGCTGCTTGTCAAAGGTTTTTAAGGTTAGCACATCTTTTAACTGTTTCCCTTTTCAATTATTAGAAGTACTTTGACTATGGCTTATTTGATTCAAACCAGTTTTCCAGACCAAGACAGCCTTTGACAACCATTCCTATTGACTTCTGATGCTGTCCTGACATCTTCTTTATGTCTGCTTTCTTCCCTCCTCCCCTCTACTAACCAAACCTGATGCTTGCGAATTGCCTTGGTTACAGATATGCTCCACACCCAGACAGAACACTCGGGTATTTAAATCACAGCCGAAGCTCCTGATTCCCCTCCCTCTCCTAGATTTCCAGGGATCTACTATACAGCGGTGTCTGCTGTCACTTGAGACGCTCTCAGGAACCCAAGCTTACTCTGCATGTCTCCAGAATATCCTGTTATACCTCCTTACCCTGTGCAGGTGCCTTGGATAGCCTGAGACTTCTCAGATGACACTAGATGCCTGTGCTGAGGCAAACGAGCCAAGCTCATACCTATGCCTTTTGCCATTTGTACTCCCATTGCACAGCAATGCTGCTGGGTTTCACAGAGGTGGAAAAAGATGCCTTGACACTCAACCTGTTTTGCTGGGACTGCATTTTTCTGCATATGAAGCATATAATTTTTGGTTCCTGGTTATTGTGTTATTTGAGTCCTAGAAGGGTGATATTACACAGGACATGGGGAAAGAGTATGATCTTCTTGCAGAAAAGACTGAGGCTGTCATGTTAAAGGATCAGTTGCATGAGCAATCACAGGGACAGAAGGGAGGTGTGGTAGAGCCTGTCCTAGAAGTGCCCCTGATCTGGAGAACTGTGTGCAGGGGGGATGGTTAAGATCACAATTCCTCTCCTGGGAATATGGATGCTGTTGGGAGTGCCTCTTACTGTGTAAGAGGGAGGTAGTGGAGCTCAACATCTGCCCTGAAAAGTGCAATTGCAGCTAAAGGGAAACAGCTAGTTTGGGAGACAATACCTATGCTGTCAGTGTCTAATTTTGGTGGGATGACTCACATCCTTTCTTTCCTTCTAACAGAATAACAGGACTGTAATGTTTTCCTTTCCTGAAGTAGGGAAGGCCAGAAAAGAGTGAAAGCTAATGGCTGGAAAACACTTACTTTTACTTTCTTACTAACCTCTTCCCCTTTCGTTTTCGTGGAGATGGAGAGGAAGAGGAAAGGGGCTGTACTTTTGCCTATGGAAAAGGCAACCCATAAAGCAGAAAGCTTACTATTTTTTTCTCTTTCACTTGAACTTTTCAAACTAGCATCATGGGCCCCCTCACATTCTCGAGCAGAAACTATTCCTCTGGGTCAATTTCTATTAGAGAAATTAATGATGCCTACGCTCTGTTGTCCTACAAGACAACCATAACTCCTTTATCTGGAGAAAAGAAGGTCCGAGATGCTTTTTGCTAGTAGAGGTTGGCTTCTGCAACATTAAGACTTGTCTGAATAAAGGCAGCAGAGAGAAACCCCATAGTTTCTCATAGGGTTATTCCATGTCTGGCAAGGCTGGTGCTACACCAGAGATGACTCCCTGGAAAACATCTTGGACGTGTGTGAAAGGTGCCTTCAGGATGACTCTGCTGCGGGCTCCACGCCTGGCAGCTCCTGGAGGAGCTATTCTTCAAAGAAGAAAATGCAGATGTGGCACTGGGCCTGAGCTGGCTGAATCATAGAATCATAGAATAAGGTTAGAACCTTAAGGTTAGAAGGGACCTCTAGAGGTCATCTAGTCCAAGAAACAAGTATTTCAGGTTCCTCTCTATTTATAGCAGAATTATTTCATAGTCAGATAATTTGCATATGCCAGATGAAGCTGGGCTTTATTCCATACTTCATTTTACACATGCACACAAACGACATTTAAAAGTGTTTTACAGAGGTAGAACCCATGAGGTGAGCAGTTACATGGACTAGGGAAATTACATTGCTTTGCATGACATATGAAAGAGAGAAAGGATCGATAAAGCCAGAGGAGGATGTGGCTTCATCATCTTATCTGTCTGCTGTTAGGGCATTTTTATATTTCTGTTTGTAAGTCAATAACTACCTATAGTAAATAATATGCTCAACACATTCACCCATCAGTTATAAAGAAAAACATAATAATTATACAGCTCACAATATTTTACACTACAAAGCTATAGTAGAAATATTTGTAACATAAAATAGATACAAATATACTGCTTAGCCGTATAAGTAGCTTTCATCAGCAAATATTGAAGCATTTGAAAAGCATTGTGAGGGGATTGTGGTGTCTTTACTCCCATTTTATAGCTAGCCCATACTGATACCAATTTGAATTTGGTATCATGACTTCTGCCCCAGTTTTCTGTTATCTCTTACACAGTGGGTGTCAAGGAATGTGATATCCTCACTTGCTCTTTCTGATTAAGAGTCAGACATGAAAAGATTAAACTGCAGCGGAAAGGTCATAGGGAAGGTGACACAAGCTCTGGGTCGCTATTGGATTGCTCTGCTCCATGTCCTGCTGTCCCCACCCCGCTTGGTGGAAAAGCTTGAGACCTGTTCTAAAACTGTTTTGAAGAATAGAGGAAAAAAGTAATGTGCAGCTAGAGAAGATGGAGGCATCAGATGAGGAAAGGAGCACTGCAGGGAGAAGCTGGAGAATGTTTTATTTTCAGGAGGCCAAGAGATCATTGTGAGGACAATATGGAATGGTGTTTTTACAGTGTCTTCTTGCAGAACCGTGACATCGCCTTTCTCTTGCAGGCCTGGTGCTCCCTCCTCTTCCCTTAAAAGTGCTGGGGAAGGCCAGGTCCAGCTCGGATCAAATCCGGACCGTTCTGGTGCTGACACTCATAACATTTCCGCCCCTGGGGTTGCTCCATCTCCAGGCCTGGGGGGCGGCCTTCAGCCCCTGGCTCTGGGCGGTCACCAGCAGAGACATCGTGTTGTGGAGTCCCCTAGTGTCCTGTGGGGAGAAAGAGCCTGTTAGGTACTTGCTGGGGCTCTGGAAGATACCAGGGGACCGCCTCTGTGGGACCACACAGCCCAAGCTGATGGCACGGCCTCTGCAGCAGAGCAGAAGTTAAGGAAACACAAATCCCCCAGGGGCATTAATCTTTCAGAGGACAGTCTTAGGCCATAGGAGAGAGCCACATAAACGAGACAGAGTCAGGAGGAGGAAAGGAGCTCTCCAGGGGTACAGCTAGAGGATGTTTTACGTGGAGGAGGTCATGGGATAATTGGGAAGGCAGCACTGCAAGGTGTTTTCCCAAGGGCCTCCTGCTGCAGCCCCAGCTGTTCCTGGGGAAAGGGATAGTCACCCTCCCTCCTGCTGGGCTCCTGCTCCCTGCTCCTACCTTCAAAGCGCGTTTGCATGGACATGTCCGGCTGGGAGAAGCACCGCACCATCCTGCCGCTGTCACGGGTAACG